CAAAGACAGAATGGCAGATTTTCAATGAGATTGACAAATTGAGAAGATAAATCGAAAACGTTTCTTGCACAAATACATTCAGGGGAGAAAATTGTTTGGCTGATTCATTAGCAAAGGTGGGTGTGGGGAGGGAAGAATCATTCATGGCGTGGATGTAGTGTTTTTAATATTTTGGGGTGCTAATATCTTATTATGTTTCTTATGGTTTTGTAATGTCCATAACCGATCCACCCGTTGGGATCCCAATCTATTTTTGGCTGATTTACGAATAAAATAAACTTTGTTTGAGAAAAAAATAATTTAAGAACCATATCAAGATCCATAATAATATTTAAATTGAGAATAATTTATATTTAGTAATTAGAATAATTAAACATATTGGTTGGGAAAACTGAAAAGAAAGATTTTGAAATTAATGTAATAATGGTAATGAAATTTATTTGATTTTATACAAATGAAAATTAATTTTAATTAATTTGATTGTCTATTAATTATTTTAAAATCAATATATACATATTAAACGTATATGCATAACTTAAATGGAGTAAATAAATAGATTATAGGTTAAAAAATTGGCAATTGAATTTTTTTTATGCAATTTTTATTTAAAAGTTGAATATTTAAAATTGAAAAAGAAGGTTACAAAATTATTTTATGATGATGGCAATTAAAATTTTATTACTCTTAATATGAATTTAATTAAGATTGATTTAAAATAAATAATAAAATATAAAAGTAATTAATTTATTGAAAAACACGTAATAATTTTTTAAAATTATCCATATGTTAATAATATAAGCAATCTAAATTAGAAATTTTTTATCAAAAATTTTTATTTTTATATATTTATATAAGATTCTTAGTAAGCGACAGTGAAGTAATGTTTCATTACAATGGACAGAGCATCTCCTTCCAGAATAATGTTTATGAATCCCCTTTCTTTGGCAAACTTTAAACCCCGAGCTGCTGCCATAGCCATCACACAGAGGGCATCAATTTTCCATGGCACTATTTCTATACAGGCTCCCCTTACTTGACCCGCATCATCCCTGACCACCATTCCAAATTCCTCCAAGCCTCTTGTTTCCATCAACCTCACCATCGAAGTTTACTTTGAGCTGCCTCCTCTCCAGTGGCTTCCATTTAAGCTGAGGCTGATCCTCCCTTGTTGCTTGCTGCTCTTGTGCCTGTAAGAATTCATTTAGGTAGTTTTTAACAAATGAGGCTGTCAACCTTGCCTCTCTTCGTCCTTCCCCATGAATTTCCCTGTTCCTATCATATCATATAGTTACGGTTTCAAATAGCGGATGTATAGCAAAATAGTAATTATGAAATTACGAAAGCATCACCACCCACTATCATTATTGAAAAAAATATACCTTAAAAATTGAATCATACTTAAAATAATATGTAACGACTACTAAAAAATGATGTAATGAAAAATAGCGATAATAATGAACTGTTATTACCGTTATTCTTGTTTTCTTAGTTATTGGTTCAAATTAAACAAAAAAAACTTCCATCAACAATAACCTTAACTCAATCTACAAATTACTCAAATTCAAATCAGTTTCAAGATTAAATCAATAATTAAAATAAAAGAAGGTAAAAAAAGTTAAATTATCTTTTTTTGGTAAAATTTTTATAAAATAATGTTTATCTTTATGATAATCTGAGAAAGATGAGATCGAGATACTCTATAGATAATGACATTGATGAGGATACGCAAGAGAGAATAACAGATAAAAAAAAAAAAAAAGAGAAGAAAAAGACACGAAAGAGTTGAGCACGAGGTTTTCTGCCTTTCTACTAATCAAAATTTGGGAGAAATTTTGCGAGAGGGGGCTGTCTGTTATTGAGGGGGACATGTGGGTGGGGTGGGTTACGGTGGGGTGATGGATTTTTATTTATTTAATTTTATTAAAATATAAGTTTGAAAATTTATAAGTTTTGAAATTATATTTATATATGAATTTTAGGTAAAAATTTTAATAAAATTTTTTGATAACTTAGATGAAAAATAATTAAAATTAAATAGTATAATTTGATTTTGTTATTTATTAATTTATTATTTTGTATTTGAAATTTAATATTTTTTTTGTTATTTTGGTATTTATATTATTATCAATTCTTTTGTTATTTATCAATATTTATTAATTTATAACTATAATTGATGGAATTTAAAATTATTATATTTTTAAGTTTGTAATTTTATTGAATATAGATGCTTGATATTTAACGTATTATGTTTGATTAATATTTTAATTTGTCAAAAATTAATTTTGAATATGAACTTAATTCAAGTAAAAATTTTGTTGCTAAATCAAATATAAATACGTTATTATAATCTAAATAAAATTATAAATAATTTTTTTAAAAAATAAAAAAATAGTGTCATTAATTACTTTTAAAAAAATTAAATAAAAATTTTTATAATTATAATTATAATTATTATATTTTATAACAAATTATGTAAAATTAAAAAAATTTATGATCGCATTATATTTAAAAACATAATAAATACGATGCGACCAAAAATAAAATTACAATCATTATTTAAATCCCTATAGCCCCAAATAGCAATCATGAATAAATGAAATTTCAGCTGCTCATATTTCTCTAGAACATGGATCAACCATCCCCGCGTACTGAATACCTCTACATTTTCGTCCCAGTTGAAGTCCAAGTGGTGCCACACATCCTTAGCGCAGGAAGAACTTATTCCTCTGCCACTCCACATCTTAATGCGTGTGGTTCCAGTAATTACATGTTTCCTTGCAAAGTTTTGGAACACTGGAATTATATTCTTGCTAATTTTCCATAACAGTAATTTAACCTTTGCTGGCATTTTCGCTGCCCAGAGGATCTGTCAAAGCTTCCTGGATCGCCCTTCATTATCCTCCTCTCCATTCTCTTGTATATTGTAATAATTAAATCTATAACTTAAATTTTAAGAACTAATAGAATGCTTTTGTAGTGTCAGGTGGCACACTCTTGTTATTTTTTTATATTAATTATTTTTTAAAAAATTATTAAAAAATAAATAAATATTTTTTAAAGATTTTTTTTTGTTAGTGGATTAACTTGTACTAAATTTTATTTTTGCTTTCCCCTTTTACCCTTCATTTACTTTTTAAAAAATATTTAATAAATATTTTTTAGTATTTAAATTTATTTATGTGTAATCACTTGATATCAAAAGTATATTATATTTTTTTATTTTTTATATATTTAATAAATAATTTTTAGATTTTAATTTTTTTACTCACTCGATATCAAGATTATACCATATGCTAAGCCATTGGATTTTATCTTTTTTTTTTATTTTCTCTATTTATATTTTTCTTTTTTATATTTAGTAAATGTTTTTAAATATTTTAAAGTTTTTTTAAATATTAGGCCCTTTTGATATTATTATTAAAAATATATTTTTATTATTTTTTAATTTAATAATTTAAAAAAAAAACCTATTAGCAAAAGTAGCATGTCACATTCGAATTTGATTTTTTTAATTTTTTTTAAGTTTTTTAAAAATCAATGATATAAATTTTTCAAAAAAATTTCATCATTGTTAATCTTATGTGACAACTCAAAATTTTTTTTAGATTTTGTTAATATTAGATTATTTTTTTAAAAAGCCAATAAATATTTACACAGCATTTTATTTCGTTTTTTTTGCCTTTCATTTTTTTTCATTTTTTAATAAGATAAATTTTGCACCGAATAAAACTGGTTTATTACATAAATTTTGGTAACTTTAACCCCTCGTAAAATTTGCCACCAATAACCCCCTTTTCCCTTTTTTTTTTATACCTTTTTTCTAAATTTTTTATTTTAATTTATTTTTCCTTTTTTTCACATATTTAATTAATTATCTATTTAAAAAAAACATATGTGGTTTATTTTATTTTATGGATTAAAAATATTTTTAAAATATTTTTTATAATTTTTGAGTTTTTTGTTTTTAATTAATTATATAACTTGCACATTTTAACTATAAAATGATTTTTACGTGTCATCCCGATCTAATAGAAGTGGTTTTATTTAATCCAAGATTAAATCAAGATGAATGATTTTATATAGATATATATTCATCGGTTTTTTGTTGAATGCTTTATATTAAGTGAGTCGTACACATAAAAATTAAAATAAAAAATTATTTTTTATAAAATACATTTTATGAGAATAAAAGACTAACTTACACGCATATTACTTCCATTAAAATTTTTTCGGTAATCTTTGAACTTTTTTAATTAAATTAAATTTTTAATAAAAAATAAAAAAAATTTAAAAAAAAATGACAATGGAAGGGGCATCGTCGTATTGTTTGTTAAATTTTGGTTGATTTTTTTACAATTAAAATTGTTGAACAGAAGAAAATATAAAATTAAGGGTATAAGTAAATAGAATTTTTAATGGAATCGGATCCATAATATATTTTAATTGTAGATTCATTTATTAAGTTTAATAAATGAATTTTGAATACTATTATATTTAATTTATTAAATAAATTGAACCTAAATAATTGTCATTCATTTTATTTATGTCCGAATAAATTTATTTATATTTATTTTAAAATTTATTTGTTTAATTATTGTTTTAGTTTTTAATTATTATTAATTATAATTAATACTAATAAAATTATATTTTATTTATCTTTAATATATATTTTAAAATTTATTTATATTTGTTAAAATTTGTTTATATTCATTTAAAATTTATTTGATTATAATTTATTTATTATTCATAAATATATTAATTTTTATATATTTATAAATATATTCACAAACATATTCATTTAATGTTTACGAATGAACTTATTTAATTTAATTAAATAAATATAAATTAAATATAAATAATTTATTATTTAAACAAATAAATATAAATAAATAAAATAATTATTTTAATAAATATAAATTAAATACAAATAGTTTTAAAAATAAATAAATAAATACAGATACATATTCTTTGGTTTACGTTCGATTAGTTTATAGTCGTATACAAAATTAAATGTAGCTCGAAAACTGAAAACCCGGTAGACCTTCTAGAAGCCTCTAATGAAAATTTCTCTCCATAAAATACATGTTTCTTAAAAAATTAAAAACCTCAAAAATCAAACTTTATTTCTCTCTCTGCCTCTCCCGTTGAAACCATCCCAGTCCTGAAAAATGTCGCTCGACGGGGACGTCAACGGCGGCGGCGCTAACACCGTCGGTGTGACCAATAAGCTTTTCTTTTGCTATCAATGTAACCGTACCGTCACCGTAACTGTCTCCCCTTCATGTGACCCTTCTTGTCCCATATGTAACGAAGGCTTCGTCGAAGAATACGAAAACCCTAACCCTAATCCAGGCTCCGCCTTCCAAAACCTGAACCCATTCACCGAACCCTTTGTGACGCTATCGGATCCGTTCTCTTCCTTCCTCCCGCTCCTTTTTCCTTCCTCTTCTTCTTCCATTACCACTTCATCGTCATCCGCTGCTTCCGTTGACCTTAACAACCCTAGCCTATCCGGGTCTAACCGGTCAGGCCGAGGCGACCCTTTCAATCCGTTTACCTTCATCCAAAATCATCTCAACGATCTCCGTTCAAGCGGGGCGCACATCGAGTTCGTGATCCAGAACAATCCGTCGGAGCCGGGCATTCGGCTTCCGGCAAACATAGGGGATTATTTCATCGGACCGGGCCTCGAGCAACTGATCCAGCAGCTGGCCGAAAACGACCCTAACCGGTACGGGACCCCACCGGCATCAAAATCAGCCATTGACTCGCTACCTTCGGTGAAGATAACGAAGAATCACTTGAATTCGGAGTTCAACCAGTGTGCAGTTTGCATGGACGAGTTCGAGGAAGAGACTGAAGCGAAGCAGATGCCCTGTAAGCATCTTTATCATAAGGATTGCATATTGCCGTGGTTGGAATTGCATAATTCGTGCCCCGTGTGTCGTCATGAGTTACCTACGGATGATCCTGATTATGAGAGGAGGGTTCGTGGGGCGCAGGGGACGGGTGGAGGTAATGATAGTGGTAGTAGTGGTGGGGGTGATAATGGGCAGAGTTCTGTCGGGGATAATCGGACGGTGGAGAGGAGTTTTAGAATATCGCTGCCTTGGCCATTTGGGGCTCGTGGTTCGGCTTCAGGATCAGGTGATAATGCGGAGACCAGGCAAGAAGATTTGGATTGAGAATTGTGAGTAATTTTTTGCCTCTTTTAACAATTATATGTATTATTTTATCCCCTTTTACTCGTACTCTCTTTATATTGGCCTACAATTTGGAGTATTTGAAAATTGGGATTATAGCTCAATTTCTTGTGTACCATGTGTGGTGTTCAATGGTCATCACATTAGTTTATCAGCCAATACAATGAAGTTGGTCATTTGAGCTTTGGGCATTTTTGGTTACAGGCCTTTTGTCCATCGTAGCGTATGGCAAAATCATACAGTACTGTGGAGAACAGAATGAGAATGCCTGCTAAGCACAACACGATATCGAATTTTTCATCCTTTTGTCAACAAATTACACCAATAATTTATGTGAATTTGATAGGAAAGCATTAGTCAAACTAATAAAATATATGCATTCTTTCCTTATGGAAGCCCATGATAGTCATATGTTTTGGCTACATGGTTTTCAATTATCCTTGCATTTATTTTTTGATGTAATTTGAAACTATGGTGATGCCTCTTAAACATCTCTTTAGATCTTTTTTTTTTCTATTTGTACAATATGACTTAATGTAGAGTCACTGACTAGAGCTAGAATTTGAGATTATGATTACTTCTTTATGAAGCTCACTGTTACATACGATTTGGTCATTATCTATAATAGGAGTGTAGTTGCTATAATTATGAAGGTGGAGGTCAAGACTTCTTAGGTTTTTTGTGCTCACTAGACATATTTAATCCCTATCTTAAGTGTTCGAGGGAAAGAAGGAGAAGTCTGAACTTGCTTAAGCATCAAAAGATTTCTTGTCATGTTCCGTCCTTAATCAAATTGTAGCTTAACTGTCTATATGAAAATTATAAATTATGATATTAACAGACGGCTTGTATGTGTCTTTTTAACGTAACCTTTCACACATGTCAGCTACCTGCATATGGTTGCTAATAAATTTGCATATGTTGGTCAAGGGTGCATTTTTGTGTTTGACACTTTTGTTAGATTCTAGTCTTCTTTATATGGATGATGGCCATTTGATTGTGGAAGGTATTATAATTGGTTTGTTTTGTAAAACACAATGCTTCACGGCTATTTAGTTACTAGTTTTTGTCAGCAATTTATTTCTCATGTTAAATGCTTTTAGTTGGTATATCTTTTGAAGAATCCAGCTGATGTTAGCTGTGAAAGGCTTGGTGGTCATCTTGGAAGGTTGAGGTGGTGGGAAGTGATACTATATAAAGATTGAATACCAAGCTGGAGCTTTCTACCCGTGATAATAGTTCTCTGAGCTTAGTAAAGGTAAATTCTCAGGGGCATTGAAAGATGTGGTAGCTGAAGCAAGATCTGCTTTCAGAAATATTTTGAAGTAGAAAGATTATAGGACCATATGATTTTCTTCTGGAATTCTGTAACTTATTGAGGCGTTACTCCAACTTAAGACTATAAATTAGATTATCTTTTTGTTTAGGTGATAAGGTAAAGGAAAGCATGTAAAGAAGTTATGGGTAAAAGGGGTGGTGGCGAGTCACATGAACAAAAAAGTAGAAAAGTAAGTTCTTTATATACTTCCAGTCTATGTCTTGTGGCACTAACATCATATTCACTGGAAGAAACTCCTGGCAAGTTCTAATGCTCATGTATGTCTAGGTTGTGTAATGTGTTGCCATTCAATATTTCTATCTTAATTTTGTTCCATTATTACGCTGTCCGAATAACCTTGTGGTCCTAGTAGCTGGGGTGTCAAGCCTTTTTTTATTTTTCGTGGGTACAATATCTGGCTGAAATGTCATAGACATATTGATACTTAGACTGGCAAGGGCTTTTGATTGTTCATTTTTGGGTTAATGTTATGAATAGTCCTTAACCTATAGTGAAATATTTAATGTGGTACCTAAACTATAAAAGTCTCTAATGTGTTAGCTGAACTATGAATCTATTAACTAATGTGATAAATGGAGGGTTGTTTGTCCATCATGTGTCATCATTTGAAACTAATTACGTTAGAGGTGAGTATCACATTAGTTAACAAATTTGTAGTTCAGGTATCACATTAGAGATTTTTTAAAGTTCAGATACCAAATTGAATATTTCACTATAGTTTAGAGGCCATTCATGACATTAACTCTTCACTTTTAGTGCTGCATGTGTCATTTCTTGCTTTAGATACTGGCCAATGTCAATCGGAATGATTCTTGAATCCTGTTGAAATATTGATAAATGAATCAATTAGGACTTGAAATACAACAAATATTCTTGGTTGAGTTGACATTTTTTGATAATCCCTATTTGCTTGACAAGCCTACCTCTTGATGCATCCTTCGTCCCCTAAGTGGCTTGTAAGGAGGTTGAACCTTATTGTTAAGTAAAATGTTAGGCTGCTGTGGATCTGGAATAGGTTTAGGTTCAATTTATACCAACTGAAAAAAAAGATGTATGTCGCAAACTTCAAAATAGATTAAAATTTTGTTATCCATTTTTCTAAAAAGACGAATTGCTGCAGTCATTTCATATTACTTACTACTAATACAACTGTCACAGTTTCTACTTGTTTTGATTTGTACTTTTTCAAAGAATCAGGTATTTAGCAGATTCAGTGTATTAAAAGCAATTTTATTGCTCTAAAAAGACATAATGTTAATCATCAAAGCCTGCATACGTTTGCATGCTTTCAGTGCTCGTGCATAAGGCTATGCTTGATGGAAAGTTGGAAAGATAGAAGGGTGGTTCTGTTATTTAACTAGTGGAGTTAGAAAAAATCATAGTTACAGAACTTATGGTTTCTTGACTCGTTAAGTATATTGTGATGTACACGAATCAGAGCTACTTTCTTATGGTGGCACACATGTTTACATGGTGCTGTAGTACTTTCATTCAATTTTTGTTTTATATAATATATATATATATATATATATATATAACCTGCCTGCATTTTCATTGTCAAATTGAGCTTGCTATTTGTATTATGGCATCCTAACTTGGATTTGATTTTTGGCAGCTTGAAATGCAGCAAATATCAGCATTTCATGAGACATGGTGATAAGACAAGACTGTCCCAAAGTTGGAAGCAGAGTTATGTGTAAACATGGAGAACTAAGATTAGTGTGGTTGCGTTTTGAGAAAGTTTTAGTTTTGTTGTTGGGTATTATATGTACATCTGAATTTTTTACAGCTTTGTTTGTCTATGACAGCTTCATTTACTCTTTCTTACATTGTTGTATAAATTCTTTGGTCCTTGCTCAATCTTCACCCCTTTTTATCTGCAAAATGTTACTATATGAGAACAAACAAGCGTCTCCAAAGGTATCGTTTATCCGCTGGAACGCATAATTGAACCCTTTGTCTGAGAAATAATGTAGAAGGGCAAATTGTTTTGAAGCATGTTTCTTTGGTTTTTTAATACCTATCATCATATAAAGTTCATTCGTTGCATGTTTAGTGTATGGCTACCGTGCTAGTATTTTTATTTGTCTGCTTCATATTTTTTATGCAAGAGCAAAGCCTGTTGAATTTCAAATCTTCTTTTCAGAAGGTGGGAAGTGGGAATCATTTGTGGTGTGAGAGGATGATTAGTAGTATAGCGTTTTATTTCACAATGTTCAGATCTAGGTCTCACGAACGCCTGATTTTTTCTTTCCTTTCGCCAAAAGAACAAGCCACAGATTATCCTGGCTTGATTATCATGTATTGAAATAGAAGGCTATCAAATGGAAGATCAACTTGACTTGGTTATAATATATGATTGCAATGAATTCGTTGATGCGCACAATTTGTAAATATTTGTCATACTATTATTTATTATATGTTTCGTAAAAAAAGGGATTTACTTACGTTAGTATAAGTTTTAACAATTTTTTATTATTGGAAATAAAGTAATTACATATTTAATTTTAATCTAATAATAAAAAAAATGTAAAACTTACATTAATGTAAGTAAATTCTTATTCATTGATAGAATGTTACTTTTTTTCTTTTGAAATAGTAAAATATTAAATTTTTAATTTTTAATTTTTAATTTTTAATTCTATTATCTTAATTTTATTCTTTACGGACTCAAATAAAAAAAAAATTAAAATCTACGATTTGATTATTTAATTAGAGTTGACAATTATCCAAACTTAGTATTCGCAAACTCTAATTCAGATTCGAAGCTTCACTTTATTGTAATTATACAATTGTGGAGTCGAGTAATGTAATTTAGATTCGAAAGAATGGACCTCGATGGATTGATGGACCCATTGGCGGTTGCCCATTGATAAATTAGTGAAAGGTGGGCAGGTTCAGTTGAGCTAACCTTGGGTTGGCTAAACCGCAAACACTTGGTGGTGGCACTTGTCGGTGTGATTTTCCAGTATCCAGCAAAAACAGAAGGAAGGCAGGCAGGCAGGCAGGCAGGCAGGCAGGGATAATAGAAAGAGAGAAAACAAATACCAGTAGTATAGCAGTAAGCATGTAGCGGTGAAAGAAGAAGGGTCCAAAACACTAACAATCGATTCCCCCACCAATTCCCAGCAAACCACTGGTTTTTCTTATTCCCTCTACTGTCTTTTATCTTAATTTCCTCTTTGTGCATTTTCATGATTATCTTTACTACTTTCGCTGGCACAAATAATTGAAATTCTACCATCAGTGAATTTTTACTATCTTGGTTCTCATTTAACAGCTAATCTTTTTGATTCAATTCATCATATTATTGATTTAATTAAAAATATTGTCAGTTTGCACCAATTCTTTTCATTATTGGTTGTGGAACTGTCTTCATCTGCATATTCAGGTCATTTCATTTTATAAATCTAATTAGTATTGTTGATCATGCTGCGTGCATTTTCAGTTTCTGAGGATGATGAAATAGAATATTCGATCAAACCAGAATTCTTGACCCAGAGCTTGATGATAAAGATGAATTATGGGTTCAGAATAAAAGGAAGGGCCGTATTTCTGATGCTGTGCTTAGCTGTCCTGCTTGTTATACCACCCTCTGCCTTGAGTGCCAAAGGTATGTGCATTTGTAGGTTAAAGGAAAATCAAGAAATTGATATTGGACTAAGCATTAGTCTTTGATTATTATGTCTAGGTAAATCACGCATGTCAACTTTCAAGTCATTTTGATATGTTTCACTGTTCCATCTTTGCAAGTTCCCTGCGTTATACATTTGCTTTAGACAGTTTTTGTGATTTGTGAATGACATTATTGCAAAAGAAATGGACGTTTTGTATAAATGTCATTTCAATTTGAAATTTGGCATGTGTTCATAGTGCTCTGTTATCTTACCAAATACTATTCATAAATAAGATATGCATCGAAAAAGCACTAAAACTAACTTCTGGGTAATAACTTATCGCAATAAGATATGAGTTCAAGCCATTTCTTCCATGCATCAAGTTGTGGTTTTTTTACCGCAAAGAGGGAAGGAATATGTCTTGTGTCATGTACTGGAGATGCATGCTCCAACATGAATGTGCAATGTTATTTTTTCCTGCTAATACTTGTTATTAGTAATTCAAAATGCTTTTTGATAAAAAAAAATGGTTTTCTTTATTAACAGATGCAACTTTTTTACTTTTGTTTTGGGAGAATAATTGTTTTGCAGCTTTAAGTTGTTTTGTTAATGTAAGAGTTAAATATAAAATACTAATATCTTTTAACTGGGATGTACAGATTCTATTTTTGTTCGTGGTATCATCGAGAAGTTTGTGCTGGGATCAACATGTGCATTTGTTCTTGCCATAACTAAGCTTAATTTGTGCCTTGCACGCATGAAAAATATGACTCAATACAGGGCAATTTTTGTTGTAAACTGCAAGATTGAAAATGAAAAAGTCAGGCAAGAAAGGGTAAAACCAAAAAAAAACAAGAGAAGAAGAGAATCTAGTGAGAATGAAGCAGTTGCTGCTGGTGGGGAAGTATTCAAGCCAGTGTGCTGTTCTCTCTGCTCAACGGAGGTTGGTGTCATTGATGAAGATGAGATCACTTTTTCAATGTTCTTCCAAGTGAATTTTGAATCTTGACTCTCAATTGCTGAGGCTGCAAAATAGTTCACTTGAAACTCATTTTTAGTGCTAGACAAGGAAATTTTACCTGAAATTGACTATACTAACATTATCATTGCCTGCTTTGTTTCTCTCCCTCCATTTAAAACACGTCGGGGTGGTTCTGTTCTGCCTAGGGAGATGAGGAGAAAGTTTGTTGTCATGAATGATGTAAGTAAATGTTGTTTCAATAGGACATGGGAGGCTCTCCCCCTCCAATCCAAAATGAGCAGGATCTATCTTGCATTTACAAGGAGTATGTGCTTAATAATTGAATAGCAAGTGATTGATCAGTGTTATTTATTACTAGTATATGATTATTATTGATAAGTGTTATTTGTTACTAGCATAAGGAGTATGCTGCAAGAAAAAAATTGATTTATGTCTTTTTTTTTTTTTTGGTAGCCTTCATTCAGTTGAACCCTTGCATTCTTTCCCCATAATGAGGGGGAAACTCCTGATTTGTGCCTTAAATCTTCATCTGTGGCTCCAAGGCTCAGGCCACTGATCAGGTAACTCTATAGGGAGGATTTCTAGTACAAGGCTATGGTTCAAACCTGAGCCCATTAATACCAACACCCAAGTATACAAAAACCTCCATATCCCGATTTGGGATCTCAAGTGATTGAATTTAACTTTTTACCAAATGTGAAAAAAGAAAAAGAAGAAAACAAAACGATTTGCCCTCATAAAATTTGAGTGTTATACCAGAAGGGCAAATCATCATAATAAAAAGGTACCCAAGTGTATGGCCAAATGATTAGGGCCAATGTTGTAAAGAAGTGATGTGTCGCCCTGCCATTGGTGTTTACATCAGCGTAATATCTAATTGTATCTCATTTTTCTTGAAGAAGAAAAAAAAGATGATAAGATTATATATATATATATATATATAGATATATATAGATATAGATATCGTGCCAATGCCTGACAGTCCTTTTCATATATGGCTCCAAAAACAGGGGGAGATGGGCTCCAGCTGTTTGGCATCCTGATGATTTTATGGCTTCAAATACGTTTCCTGTTCCATCACCATCTCACTCTCCATATATACCTATATTATAACTAGTACTAGTATATATACAAAAAAAAAAAAAAAAATTGAGGAGTAATGATACCATCACCAATATATATAAAGCCTTTGGACAGAGAGTTGGGAACAAGAATTGACCTTGGTTTCTTCTTGTTTCCTCACTGTTTCACCCTTACTAGTAAAAATTTGCTTCCCTTTGCTCTCTTTCCCATATTAGGTTGCTTCATGGGCTTTCCTTAAGAGTTTCCATTTATTAATTTTGTTTCTTTATTTTCTTCTTTCATTATAAAAGAAAGCACAACCAGTGATGAAAAACTCACACCGGATCTATCCATCAGATCAGTTGAATTGGAAATCCATGACCTGTCCCATCTACCAACACCTATAAAATCAAATATACATATATATATATATATATATATTGAACTGATCAAGAATTGGTCATATATCCAGTTAAATCCAGTTAGATCAAATTGGTTTGATATTCAATCGATTTTAAGTAATTAATTTATTATTTAATATTTCTTTTTTTTCTAAATGATATTATTTGAATCTTTAACCCTTTATACTTAGCTTATTAACTAAATCATTGAGTCAAATATTTTTTTTATTAAATGTTTATTGCATTTAATACTTATTTAATAGTAAAAATCAAACTTTTAATGAAAAAATCTTTCTTTAATTGAACTTGCTGGTTGAACGAGGGATCCAGCATTTCGTCGGTTCAACTTCGATTCGATTTTTAAAACATTGAGCAAAAGTATTTTATATAAAATATTTTTTTTATAAGAACGAATAGTTTTAATCTTTGGCCAAAAAAGAATAATTTTAATCTAATTTTGCATAAAACAATTATATTCAATTTGATTTCATTTTTTTTCATATTTTTTTTAGTGTTTGATTTTTATTTTTACCAAGTTTTAAAGTAGTAAGATGTAAATAATAAAAAGGAATTAAAACTATTATATTTCCTCAAATCAACTATTATAAAATGGCAAAATCTTCTTTTTCTTTTTCTTTTTTTTTTCATATAGATTGATATCTTTAATTTAATTCATTGTTACCTTAAATTTTAGGGTAATTCTAGGAAATTTTGTGAGATTAAGGTCAAATTTGTTATATATTATGGGTTAATGTTGAATTTTGTTATCATACTTTAATTTTATTAACCTTTATCATTACATTTTCAATTTTATTAATTTTGTATAAAAAAATAACAGAATTAACAAAAATTGATTACTTACACTAATAAAATATTGCGTGAAATATTTTAATTTCATTATTATTGTTCAAAAATTAAAATAATAATAATACAATGAAAAAATAATAAAATTGAAGTACATTGATAATATTTAATATTAAATCATAATATAGAGACATATTTAACCTTAGTCCCACGTTTTATCTTTAAGAAGCTTTTACTAAGTATTAGGGATCATGATTAATTTGTTGCTAATGGAAAAAAAATCATGTAATTAAACCTTATGTTAAACGTGCTTTTTATTGAATTAGCAGCCATTTTATTAGGATAATTGTACTTGATTAGAACGGGTATCCTTTCACTGACAAAAGTACTGCAAGTTTTAGAAAGTTCTTTTTTTTTAGCCAGGACTGGAATAAATCCAAAGTTTTCCTCGACAATTAGGTGTAAAAAAAAAAGTTGTTTAAGATTCTTTGATCTTTCCGATGAATCATTCCTATATATTTTTGTCAGCTATTTTTTTTCAACAAAGTGGTGAAAGTTTCTTACTGGCTATGGCTCTTCTCTTTCATTTAGACTCCATTTTCAAGACGATTGCTTCCATAGTTCCATATGTTGTTTTTTGTATGTTCTTTCGCTTTGTCCTTTAGCCTGCGAACCTCTCTAGTCTTGCTTAACAAACAAATTAATTAAAACCACATTAAAAAAAATTAAGAGTATCAATATTTTACGTATCCAATAAGAAATTTGATTTTATAAAGGAATAAAAATATGAATGATTATTAAATTTTGAAGATAAGAATATGTATAGTTTTAAAATTTTTATTGAATATAAAAAAGAATAATATAATATATGGCCCGTTTTTGTATCATATATATTTTTATATATTTAAGAAATAATTTTTTATTTTAGATTGATTAAAATTAATATTTTTATTTTAAAAAATATGGTAGGGATTAACTTACACAAAAAAATTTTATATTTTTTTTAATTATTGATTTTAATATATCTAAATGATGAGATTAAATTTTTTTTTTTACTTATCTCTCTCACTTCTTTGATATATTGAAAATAATAGTTAAAAATATATATTAAATTAAAAAATTTTATACTATTGTAAATTGATCCTACTTCAAAAATATATATTAATATATATTTATAAAAAAATTGTAAGATAAAAATTAAAAATAAGCTAAAAATAATTTTTTATTTTTTTTAAAGATATAGGTATAAGAATTATTTGCACCCATTAAATACTTATTATAATTAGGATAAATTTGAAATAGTTGTTAGGTATGAGAATGAATATATTTATAATATAAAAATTAAAAAATAAAAATAAAAATACTTTGCTCACCTCACACCTTACCATTGATATCTTTTAAGAAAACTTTAAAAAATAATTAAATAACCATTTAAAAAATTATAAGTATTTGAATTTGAATTTTATACATGTTAAATATCACATTTTGAAAAATAATTAAATAAATCATCTAAATCAAGTTTAAAATTGAACCGAATAATAATTTTGACCAAAAAAAAAAAGTATATGAAGTGAGACATAGAAGGCATGAACCATTGTCCAAGGATAACAATATGTAAAAGAACCCTAGTTTTATAGGGCCCGTAGTGGGAATAAAGTAATTGGAAATGGCACCATATAATAATAAGATCATGATCAAGTAGTATAATGGGCTAACTAAGGAATGTTCTATAATTAAAGTTTTTCTAAAGAAAAAGATGTAATCAAAGTATGATAAAGTATAGGGCAAATCTTTGGCACCATTATCGATTATCATTTGGGTTAATTATTACTATTATAATATGATAATTGTAGTGGTTAGGGGAAAAATATGTATACCATATATTAATTCAAATCATTGAAGATTAAGTTATCAACGCAACCCCTTTTATATTCCCTCCCTCGTGTGCTAGTCAAATTTTTATCGTATAGCATCTTATATATATGTGTGTCTTGTTTTGTTGTCGAAAACGCGTTTTATGGGCCCATTGATTGGAAAATTTTTTTATAAAAGTCAAAAAGAAAAAAAATTAAAAAGTATTTTACTTTTGCAATACTTAGTGATTATTTGGATTAATCAATCGAAAATGACATCATTTACGCCGTGAACTAATGGGTTTGAGCTTATTAGCTAAAGTTTAGATTAGTTAATTAAAAAGTTTTTGACCTTAGCTTCACTTTTTTTTTTTTTTTTCTCTATGTAGGGCACATATTAGGCCCATGTAATTTGAGGAGGTAATCTAATTCTAAAATGGTGTGCTTAAATTCTAATGAGGAAAAATGGGTCCCCAATTTTGACCTTTTTATTGGATTAAATTGAAGAGATGCAATCCAAGCATTTTTGTTTTGGTGGGGAGGTCAAAGAGCAAGTGTAACTCTATCTATTGCTCAACTCTCATTTGAGTGGATCTTCATAGGCCCCAATTATGACCAATTTGAAAAAATTTCTCACCATTTCCAATTTGTTTATGTTTTCTACAAAATTCATGCCATGGAGATTAAAATAGAAACAGCATGTCCAAAATAAACATGTTTAATGGTCGAACTATCTATCAAGTTCACTGGTTTGATGTCACATGAGTTCCTAAATTGATGTTCAACTTGGATCAGTTTGAGAATAATTTTATTGTATTTTAATTATATTTTAAAGAAATAAAGATTTACTAACACCAGTATAAAATTAAAGATTTTTTTTAGATCAAATTAAAAATATTATTTTGATTCAAATTAACCATG